AAGAATCTTGATGATTGTGAAAGAAGATCCCAGAATGACAACATGTACCAGGCTCACAGGGCAACCCAGCCCTGATTAGAGCAACTCAGAAGGCTCCAAGAGAAATTCTGCCAAGAAAATGGGCTGTGTAGAAAATGTCTCACTTCTGAATTCCTTGGAGGAGATTTAGATGATTGGCAGAGGTATGGTGTCAACTTAATGATAAGTATGTAGAAAACTAAGCAAAAACGATGATTACATCTGGGAAAGACAACCACCACAACGAAATGTGCAGAAAGGGAAAAGTAACCATAGTCTATTGCATGGCTCAGCTCTGAATGGCATATGCAGTCATGATAATGGAAACCCTGAATATTGGTCTAACCAAAATCATGATATGACTGCATTGGAAGGGCAGAGGAATGGCGAGTGATGTGCAGGATGGGCCTAGGGGAGGAAAAGAATTAAACCTCTTCTCTAGGGGAAGTGAAAGGCTGCGATATCTAGAAGGAGCCATACAAGGGTGCTCTTTAGAGATCTGGAGGCAAATACCAAGAATCAGCTAAGAGCTGAAAATGGTTGCCTTTAGAGAAGGGAAATGGGGGTGACCCTCCTAGGGCAACTTGACTCTGGGCTTGCATGAATCATTTTGATTTAAAAACTAAAAAAAAAATTAAAAAAATACAACTCCCATCTCTGCCCCTCCTATTCTGGTGATTTTTCGAGTGACTGAAAAAATATCAGGACTTTTCATGGCTAAAAGCCTTGGGAGTAAGTTCTTTTCGAGCTATCCTGAGCAGATAGGCCCAGCCTATAAGCAGATATCAGAGAGGCTCAGAAAAAATGGGGATAGATGGAAATGGAGATGGAGCTGATACCCCAGGGGCCACACCTGGACTGTCTCCTGACGCCTCAGGCCATTTCCTAACCTCTCTGTGCTTTACAGAGTTGATGCTGCGATCAGCGACCAGCGTAGTAGGGGCCAGGCTGTGCCCAGAGCACCTGCCTGCAGGAACCCCAGAGGCAGAGGTGGGAAGAGGCCAGAAGAGGGCCGTGGCCCCTTCAGTGCAGCAAGTCCATCATAGCAGCTCTGAAACCCCAAGCTCTTCCCTTGAGCCCTACTGTCCAGTCATCTTGGCCCCAGAAACTAGAAGCCCGGGTCACACCATGCCACTACTCATCCGTGTTTACAGAAAGCAAGATTATTATTTACAAGAACAGAAGCATTGAGCTAATTCACTTTTAAATACACCAAAGAGAGCAGCAGACAAAAAAACAAACTCAGAAACTTCTGAGTGGAAAAGGGCCACCATGTCCCGGCCTGGCAGGGCATTCTCGTCATCAGGCCTTTCCCGCCACCCTCTGCTGCCCAGGCCACTCTGGCCTTGCTCTCTGCTGACGAGCAGACCCTTCCCGATATTAACTAAACTACTTTTTCCCCGAGTGAATCCAGGTTAAGAAAACAGAAGTTTCTTCCCAGACCACTCAAGCCCCTGAGCCAAGTTGTAGCGGTACCCAGAGCTCCCTGGGGCCCAGTTCTCAAAGCGTTTGCAGAGATGTGTTCTGGGCAGTGTGAGTCACGCAGCTCCCGTCCTTAGGGCCGCAGAGGACACAGGGACACTTGGGCCCCTGCTTCCCAGCAAGCCTCTCCTTGCTCATTGTGGGAAGGAAGCTTTCTGCTTCGCCCAGGGTAGGAAGGACCCAGAGGAGGACTTCGGTCCCAGATCTGAATCCCCACAAGCCAGTCTGAGGACCAGGGATGGTCAATGACAAAGTTCTTGACAACCAGCGACAAAGGGAGAAAATAAGGACAAATAGGGGTGTGTCTGGAGAGAACTGTTCTTGTTTCTGGGATGAGATCCTTCTCACATTATTGTTCCAAATGACTATGTTAAACAAATGAAATGGTGATTGTGGATGACATTTTTTAATGCCTTTGCTTGGCAAAATTGGGAAGTTGGCATCTCTAGCTAGTTCCTCCTCAACAAAAAAATTTTTTTGAAATTTTATCGGGCTATGAAAGTCCAAAGTCTGGGACGTGCTGTGGTCGATTATACAAAAGAGAACAAGACCAGGCCCCAGGGCCAGAACCACGGACTCGGAGGGCGAGGAGGGCACCAACGTGTCCCGTCTCCCTTTGATACCTACGTATGTGTTAGAATACCCTGGCAAATGCTTGGCCAGCCCCCGCTTGGTGCCCTTCAGTGACTGGGAGATCATTCCCGCTGCTCTCATGATTAGAGAGTGCTTCCTTGTATGGTCTAGAAAACTGCGTCCTTGAACCTGGGCCTGTGCGTGGGAACACCTAGAGCCTGCCCTTTCCTCTTTTAAAAACAACCTTTCACCTGCAGAAAAACAGGCTCCAGGCTGCACCCCTCCCACCCAGTCTTCTTTGGTTGGGGTCTATTTGCTCCACCCCCACCCCCATCCCCAATCATTCCTCTTGTGCAGTGACTTGCCTAAGATCACACGGCTAGCAAGTGAGTTCAAACCCAGCTCATCCGATCCTGGCCCAGAGCCCCACCCCTAGTTCTCCAGAAGTGGCCAGAGCTCAGCATCCTCAATTCATGCGATGGTTCTGGCTGTTCAGAACCAGTTGGAAAAGCAACAGAGAATCCCAAATGAAAAAAAAAGTACAAAAAAGTAAATGTGATCCCAATAAACACATACATCTGCGCAGAAAAAAAGTCTGGAAGGAAATAAGGCAAAATGGTCATGGCGGTCATCCCTTGAGGTGGGCTGTGGATGTTTTTACCATATTTTTGCTTTTCTGTGTTTTCCAGTTTTTCTACAATGAACTGGTTTTTCTTTGTATGATAGAATAAAGTAATGACCATTTAGAAGGATGAAATAAGAAAGTCCCAAGACTCCATCTCAGTTCGCAGCCACAGTCAAGAGAACCAGCTCTGGGGGGTCCTGTGCTCCGGAGGTGGCCCCAGACCCCAGCCCTGCCTGTGTGGGGAAGAGCCGCCCCTCACACTGCTCTTCCAGGCCCTGTGCTTTTTTTTTTTTTTTTTTTCCTGAGGAAGGTTCGCCCCAAGCTCACATCCGTGCCAATCTTCCTCTGTGTTTTAGTATGTGGGCCACTGCCACAGCATGGCCACTAACAAAGTGGTGTAGGTCCGTGCCTGGGAACCAAACCCAGGCCACCGAAGCTGAACTCAACCACTAGGCCACGGGGGCTGGCCTGAGTCCCTGCTCTTTTAAAGCAGCCTGACATTCTCTACATCCGCTACCTGCCTCAGTTGCCAAATGGTGAGCCCACAGCCACGCAGACCCCGGACCCTCCAGAGTTGCTGCCCGATGTGCTCCTGTCCAGCCCCATCTGCCCCTCCTCTGTTCTTCTCAGGCCTTGCTGTCCCCTAGCCCCCACCCTACCTGGCTTCCCACCCCTGAGATGGAAGAGAGGAGTGGGTGGGGAGCATAGTGGAGGGTGTGGAGGAGGACGCCTCATCCCTGCAGGTCTGTTACACAGCATAGGCTGTATATACTGTTTTACAGACAAGACACTAATGCTTAGAGGGGAGATGTGTCATTGGTGTGGTGTGATGGAGCTGGGCCCAGATCCTGTCCTCTGATCCAGTCCGGTGCTTGCTCCTCTGGGCTCAGAATAGAGCCCCCAGGCCCGACTAGTGTGTGCTTGCTCCCCGCGGAGTGCTGGGGCCATGAGTCAGCGGTCACCCTCCGTGCCAGCCCTCCAGGGCAGGTCTTTGCCAGGTGTTCCCCTTGTGCCCTCAGGGCGCCTTACAGACCCAGACACACGGTCACTGCTGAGCCAAGCCCTGATTAGAAGTGGAGGGCCCGGCCTGGGGCTCAGAGTCCTGCCTGATGGTCCAGGCTCTGCTGTCCTTGTGGCCCTGGGCAAGTTGTTTCCCTCTGGAGCCTCGGGTTTCCGACGGGTAAAACAGGCAGAGCATGTTTGACAGTGATTCGACTGGGGGGGTCTGTAAGGTTCTTTCCAGGCTGAACAATCAGACATTCTGGGATTGACCAGTGACACCAACCCCCCCTGGGGAGGGGAGGGCAGAAGCTTCCCATTGGGGCTCGCCTCTCTGGGCTGGCTCCCACCCCGGGTCCCAGCCGCCACATGGATAAGTGTTGAGCATCCAAGTGTGGGCGCACGTGTGCATGTGGGAGGTGTGGATGTGGAGACATGCCTGTGTGGGTGTGGGGTGTGAAGGGGTGTGTGGGTGAGTAGGGGTATCAGAAGGACAGGCTCCTCGTTTCGTATCTTGCACAGGCACATTCTCCAATTATTTCAGTTTTCGGGGGATTCTGCTCCTTTCCTCTCCAAGACCCCAGCTCCCAGTTCCACATCACATCCCCTCCACACCCCTTCTCCTGCCTTTGTCCTCTCTGGTCCTGCCTCTCTCTCAAGCCCCAGCTCTGTGTTCTTTCCCTGTCTCTGCCCCAGAACAGGGCCTGTCAATTCAGAGCGGCCGCGCAGCCTTCGCTGAATGTGTGCCCCCTCCACCCATGTGGTCTCTCCCTCAGGACCGCCGCCCCCCAACCCCATCCCCGGCCCTCTTCCAGGAGGTGCCCAGCCCTCTCAGAGCCCATCTTGTTTCAGACAGAAATGAAGATGGGCTCTCGTTGCACAATGACAAATGCAAACCATTATTCTGTTGAGACCCAAATGAAAAATCGGGAAGCCTAACACCGTCAGGATTTGTTACCCTGACATCGCCTCTCTATGCACTGCACAAATTTTAACTGAAGTCTCAGGAGGGATTGGGGAGCCCTTTTATTGTACACCTCTGGGCTCTTCCAGGTGCCCTGGGAGAAGGGCAGGGCCTTCTCACCACAGGGACAAAGGCTCAAGGATGGTCCCTACAAGATTGGAAGTGGAGGGTGCTGACAGCTCATGCAAGCTCAGCCTGTTGGAGTGTAAGGAAGCTTAGGGAGCACATGGAAAGTCCTAGCCACTCCCACCACTTCACCCATTTCACAGGTGAGGAAACAGACCAGCACACTCAGCCCCTCAGCTGATCCTAGTGACACCACGCCCATCCTGGACTCACCCTCAGGGCCGGCAGGGAGCTGACTTGGTCCATGGTTAGCGTCGCCTCCTTGTAGTATTTCCCAGGGGGACAGAGCTTCAGGAAGGTGTCGTGGATGCTAAGAAGAGAGGCATGATGAGCTGAGGAGTGGACACCAGCAAGCCCCCTCCCTGGCGGGGCTCTCCTGGGAGGAAGGGGAAGTTGGATTGATTGACACAGAAAAGGCAGTTATAAGTCATTCCTCCCTTCTAGAAACATCCCTGAGGCTCCAGTGTGCCCAGTATACCATGGAGAATGCAAAGAGGAGCTGGGCATGAGGAAAGGTAGGTGAATGGGCTCTGTAGCCTGGAATATACTCTCCAAGTGTTAGTCATAAGACATCAGAGCTGGAAGGGACTTCTGTCGTCACTCAATCTAGTCCCTCATTTACAGATGGAGAAACCAGGAGGGCCTTGGGGACGCCAGTGTGCTACCCAGGCCATCTGCCCAGCCCCACCTGCAGCCCAGAGAAAAGAAGTCATGTAGTGAGAGTGTGGCCAAGTCAGGATTAGAACCCAGCTGCCAGCAGCCAGCAAACCACACAGCCACCCTAGACCCAGCAAGCTGGTTCCACAGACTGTGGGACTGAGCAATCATCCCAATGGATCTTATAGTGGATGTCTCTGTCTGTGGGCCCCAACACTGGTCCAGGGAATTTTGCTTGTGAGTGGCAGGCCAAAGGTAAAATGGCTGTGTGACCACCGAGAGGAAGAGGGCAGGAGTGAACTCTGCCCAGGCCAAGAGAGGACCAGCCCCCATCCTCCACACCTCCCACCCCATATTCATGGAGGACAGACTCCATCAGCCTTTTAAGGGGCCCTGAACTGTCACCAGAGACTTTACTCTGACAAGTTTGGGAGGGAGCCGAAAAGCGGGGTGTGGAATGAGTGGGGGGAGCATGTTCCAGGAAAGAATGGGGGTGGGGGCGGAGGGCACTGAAAGACAGCAAGGAGGAAAAGAAAGCCATCCTTGCTGGAGCGTCCAGTGGCCTACAAGGGGAGGGGGCAGTGGGAGCAGTCTGCCCCAGCCAAAAGGAGTATTTTATCACTGTCATTATTAGAATTCTGGTATGAGGTGATAACAAAAAGCAGACTGACTTTCAGTAAATTTTATTAATTTCTAAGAATTCTCTGAGGCCACGCACCCATATGGCCGGCGCCCGGGGGGACCACTCCTGCTGTCCCCAACCGTGGTTCTCCCGCTGCACGCTGCCAACTCTCACGGACATTTGTCGTGTAACCTGCTTGACAATCTTGCAAGGAAGGGACCATTATCTCTATTTTACAGAAGAGGAAACTGAGGCTCAAGGAGGTAAAATAACTTGCCTAAGGTCACACAATGGTGTGAAAGCCGGAACTGTGGACACCTGAGCTCTGTCCCCAGGGGCCCAGAAGGAAAGATCGGCAGGACTGCTGAGGGAAAGAGGAGGAGCCCTACTGCTCTTGCCAGCCTCTCCTCTTGTTCACCAAGCTCTGTGTGCTGGGTGCACTCAAGCGCATTATCTCATTGAATCTTCCCAACAACATGTAGGAGAGGTATAGGGGTGATCATTTCTGTAGATGGGTAAACTGAGGCTCAGAGAGTTTAAGAGGTGTGCCCAAGGTCACATAGCTTAGAAGAGATAGAGTGGGGTCAGAACCCTAAACCAGGTTCTTTGGACTGGGCTGCCCACCCCCAAAGGTCCACCCCACCCAGGTGAGAGATTCTCAGCTCCCTGGAGTGCCTTCTGGGGAGGGGGTGCCGCAGGAGGGCCCTGCCCGGACTTTATGCCTTCCCAGGCCACCGAATGGGTGGGCTGCCCACAGATGAATCGTGGCTGCATCTCAGCTGCCACAAAATGTTCTCTCTTCCTCCAAATATGGATCAGCCAGCTCTAAATGGAACTCTGAATTAATCACTAATGGACTCAAAAGTCAAAGCCATTTGAAAAACTCACACGTTCAGCCTGCCAGAAACCAAGCGGCCAAGCTGTGGCTCCCTTCCACACTTAGCCCAGACGAGGGGAGGGGCTGTCTGGGGGCCCAGAGGCCCTGAGATGGGGGAGGAGACCAGCTTCGCTGCTCACACTCTGTGAGAACTTGGACCTCCTGTGTCCCCTCTCCTGCCTCAGTTTCCCCTCTGTAAAATGAGTCTCAGAGATCCCCCTGGCTCCCTCTAGTTCAGGCATTCTAAGGCTATTTCTGTACCTCTCTCTGGCATCCCGTCCACCCCCTTGCCTCTGAGGCCCTCTAATTTAGCAGTTTTCAACTGGGTCCCACACTAGAATCATGTGGGAAGCTTGTAAAAGGATCCATGCCCGCCCCTGGAGGTTCTCATTCAAGGCCAAGTGGGGCCCAGACACCCAAAGGTTCTGCAGGCTTCCGGGTTTGTATTGTACAGGCAGGACTGAGAACGCAGCTCCTGCACGAGCCTTGATTTCCATTCTGCTCATCCCAGCTGGGGCTCGGACACCTGGGCTACACCCCCTCCCATGGAGTCAAGAGTCCTTTGCCCTATGGTATGGCCTGCAGGTATTTTATAAACGGCCCTATCTTTAGCCTGAAAATGTAGCTTTTAGTCCCATGATCTGCTACTTCCAAGCTGTGTGACCTTAGACAAATCACTTTATTTCTCTGAGCCACTTTCCTCCTTTGCAGAAAGGAGATGATAATACCACGAACATAACAGCTCCACATACTCAGCACTGACCCCCGCACCAGGTACTGCCCTAACTCCTGACACAGGTTTGATCATCTAATTGTCCTAATAGTAACCACATGAGGTTAGGTTCTATTACTCTCATATCACGCTTTCTCTAAGTCTGGAAACTGAGGCTCAGTGAGGGTAGGAAACTCACCCACGGTCACACAGCTAGTAATTGGCAGAGCTGAGCCTCGAACCCAGGCCTTTGGCTTCCAGGAAGCAAGCCTGTGACCACTCTGCCTACTGCCTTTCCAGTACTCTAGGAGAACCAGGAGCTAATGGCCAGGACAGCGTATGGAGACTGGAAGGTGTGGGGACCTCAGGGGTGCTAAAAGGAGAGTGGCCTCATGGCCGTGTTAGCCTGTGCAGAGGTTAGGGGCAAAGCTTCAGGCTCCCAGACCCATACCTAGCCCAAGATCGAATCAGTAGCCATCCCTGAGTGAGACAGCATCGTCCAAATTGCATAGACTGAGTCAGGCTGACCCAGACTCAACCGTGGAGGTGTAAAGGAAGCCATATGCACCCTCTTTGGGTCAGACCCCAGATGCAGAATCTGCAGCCACAGCTGAAGACAAGGGCCCAGAAGGGCCCGTGCGCTGAACCCAAAGAGACATCTGGAAGGTGAGGACTTCCAGGGCAGCAGTTCCACCAGAAGATGGAGAGGGCTGACCTGGAGCTGAGGCCAAAGGGACCCTGCTCTTTCAGAGACCAAGAAGATATGAAAATTCTCACAGGCGAGAAATTTAGGGTGGATAGACCCCTTCTTGGAGAGTCAAGCCAAGGCAGCCCTGGACTTGGAAGGGGCCAGCTCTAAGACCAGAGTATGTCACATGTGGTCTGCCCCTCCCAGCATGTGTCATCTGAGATCTGGTGGCCAGGCCTTTATGTCCTATGCAGGCCTTTACGTCAGAGACAAGAACGTAGGAAAGTATTAAACTAGGGCAGAGCAGCCCTTCTCCACAGGGTAGTCCTGCCTGTCGGTCTCATGGATACTTTTTTTCAACTGGATGAATCCATCCAACTGCACTGTCCTCCAGGCCACGTTTCTTTGTCACATTCATGGGAAAATCGCAACACGTTGGCAAAGGCAACACAGGAAAATTGTCACAAAGTGACAAGTTGGGCATAGTCTGGCCCAACTTGGCTGTGGCAGCCCATGATGGCTGCTTTGTCCTCTGAGCATCACGTGCCATCTGCTCCCTGAGCCACCGCAAGGACTGCTTGGTGTCCCTAACAAAGCTGTCCCTTCACTTTTCAGACAATTCACCCACACTCACCCTAATGTAGTCAGTCCCAGGTCCCCTCCAAGAAGCTAACCTATGGTCGGCTTGTCTGTGTGTGTGTGTGTGTGAGTGTGTGTGTGCACCCTCCCAGAGATATTCTCTGCGTACATATGTATGTATGTTTAACCCTTTATTTTACAAAAACAGTAGCATCCTGTATATACCAGTCTAATTTACCAAAGTAATACAGTTAAGTAGGCTAAAAGCACAAATAGTACTATAATACTTACAACTAACATTACTAATATCCAGTATTCCGCACACCTCTCTACCCCTGCTCTCCAGAGGCAGCATTTAAAAAATATTTTGCTACTTCTCTTGGTTATTACTTCATATTTACTTGTATTTCTAAATGCTGTGCTGATACTGCCATTTGTTGATATTTTTTCATTGTTGACAGTATCTTGTGACCTCTTACTATAAAAAAAAAAGAGAATTTACCTCTCTATATACTTCTCCATCCTGCAACCTCCTAATATAAAAAGATTTGCCTGAATCAATATTTGGTGTTTAAATCATTATTATTATAAGCACGTTATTTTATATTTATACATATTATTGTATATTTTATCTGTTTTATTCAACCACTGCTCACAGCTGAGTTCCCTACTACAGCATGATAACATTTTCTTTCTTTCAAGGTTTTTGTTTTTCCCAGAGTTCATAATCACTTATGTTTTTCTTTTGTTCAGGTTTCAGTGTCTCTCTCATTATTTCATCTCCAAACTTTCTGCAGAACTTTAAAATTCTCAGTATGGTTTATACATCACATCATCTATAGGTTCATTTTGTTTTCTTGGAGGCATCTCTCTTTGAATCCCTGAATCCTAATTCTGATCTGGACTAAGCGCTTTTCAGGCACTGTTGTCATCCTTGGGCTTCCCTTCCTTATCATTTTTGATATTCATTTTGCCTTTCTCTATGCTGACTTCCTTTGTTTCCTGGATCCTAAGTTTTCTTTTTTCCTCAATTTACTTACTAGTTTTAATGGAGCACGTCCTCCAAAAGCTTCCTTTAAAAAGGTGCATAAAGGAGATCATTTTTTTTTTAATTTACACATCAAAAAATATTATTTCAGGCCAGCCCTGGTGGTCTAGTGGTTAAGTTCAGCATGCTCCACGTGGGCAGCCCAGGCCTGGTTCCCGGGCGCAGACCTACACCACTTGTCTGTCAGTGGCCATGCTGTCACAGCTGCTCACATGCAGAAAGAAGGAGATTGGCAACTGTTAGCTCAGGGTGGATTTCCTCAGCAAAACAAAATATATTATCATTTCACCTTCTCTCTTGACTAATAGTTTAGCTAGGACTTAATTCTAGATTGGAATTTTTTCCTTAGACTTTTGAAGGAAAAAATAGTCCTGTCTTCCAACACAAGTCCAAACCATTCTGATTCCTGATCCTGTGTATGTGTTGGTTTTTTTCTCTACGGAAGTTTTTAGGAGCATCTCATTATCTCTGGCATTCTGAAATGTTGTTATAATATGACTTAATGTAGGCTTTTTAAAATTCTTTTCTCAAATACCTAGTGTCCTTTTGCTTTCAATGCATACATAATGAGCGAGGCTCTAAAAGCAGACCGGAAGCTCATCCCTGCTTGTCATTGTGCCTGGTGGCCCTGAGTCAGAGCCTGTCTGGCTCCACTCTCCCCAGATGGTAAGCTCCTGTCTTCTGCTGGGGTGGGGAAGGGGTGCTGAGTGGATTGCAGGGCAAGAGAAGGGATCACGTAAGACTTTCAATCCACCTGTCTGGTCTCGCCTGACCCTGCACCCCGGCACTCAGAGACTGCTGCAGCTTTCTGGGCGCTTGACTCCAGCATCCCAATCCCTGCTTTCAGCTTTCTGCTCTGCTATCTGCATCACTTATCCATCTGCTTTCCATTCTTAAAATTTTTGTTGAAACTCTCCTTTATTGTCATCTCTTCAGTTCTTTTTGTCCTTATGGGTTTATTTCTTTTTTTCTAATTCCTTTACTCTCCTTTTAGTAGAGGGAACAGAGAGAAAAAAAGATGCTCAATTCTCCATATTAACCGGAAGACCCCTGCACTTCGCTTTCTTTACTTAACAATATCCCTTGGAGATGGCTCCGCGCCAAACCTAAAGCTCCTCCTCCTTCTCTCTAAGGGCAGTATCCCACTGATGGGTGGATGTAGAAGCATTTAGTTCATCCGCGCCCTCTTGATGCAAGTGCAATGGCCAAATGAGGTGCCTTTCCCTTTTTGAAGCAGCTTTCCACTCCTTCTCCGGTTCTCTTCCATTCTTCAAAACTCTTGACAGCTGTTCCACACTCTGGGCTGCTGCCCAGGATGTGGTCTTCTGGGTCTGGAGACTCACCTTGGTTTGACACAGCAGAGAGGTGCCCCACCCATCTTGGCATTTCGGTCCCCCTCAGTTCCTGTCTTGCTCTGTCTCATTTGAAGGTCTCCAACATGGAGAAACAAAGGCAGAGTACCCTCCATCATCCAGTCTGCATTCCTTAAGCAGTGGCATCCCCAACCCCTCCCCCAGCACTGACCCGTTCCTGTTCTTCAAGGCCCCAAAGGGCGGGCGCCTCCTGAACAGGAGCTCCCCAGGGGCAGGTATCGGCCCCTCATGCTCAGGCATGGAGCTGTCAAAGGAAGGTGCAGGCTGGAGAGAGCTTTGAGAGAGGCTGGTTAGGGAAGTTTGGACTGAGGTGGAGCCTTCCCTAGCATCAGTCACTGGCACCTGCCTCCCCAGTACAACACAGATCAAGCCATGTCCTTCCTATTGGGAGGTCATCTTCCATAGAGGAGGAAAGAGGTGGGAAACAGAACCTAGCCAGCGGCCACCTCGTGGCCTGGGTGGGCAGTTCAGAAGGGAGGAGTCCTTAAGGATAGCTTTCTTCCAAGAAAATCTTTCTCAGAACGCCAGTACAAAACCCATGAAGATGGAGGGGCAAGGTTGCAGAGAGAGAAACTGAACCCCTCCCATTCTCCTCTCTCTTTGCTGATCCCCGCACACACACCACCACAACACTCACTCCTAGACAGCCTCTGGGGCATGTGTGAGGAGCCTTAGAGATCCAGAGAATTCCACTTAAGAGTCCTTGAACTTTCTGGAGTGGAAAGACGAGCAGGCACGGTCGTGCTCAATTGATGAGAGAATAAATTGGTGCAGCTCTTTTAAAGGACAATATTGTCATACCTATCAATGTTTTAAACACACCTACCCTTTGCCCAGCATTCTTATGGCTAGAAATTTCTCGTATGGATTTACTCTTACCTATTGGACAAGCTCTTTGTGCATAAATGTTTAATATAGCATTATTTGTAAAACTAAAAACCATAAACAACTTAAGTGTACATTATATGGGATTGGTAAAATGAATTATGGTTCATCGATAGGAGAGAACATTCATAGCCATTAAGAGAGAATGAGGCGTGTGTCTATGTGCCTAAGTAAAACTAACCAAGGTGAATACTTCAGGAAAAGGTCCAGAATGGTATGAATGGGCAAATGCTACAGTATGAATGGGATAAACTTTCTGAAGGATATATACGTGGGTCTACCTATGAAAAATTCTTCTGGAAGGCTAAATGAGAAACGAACTTTGAACAGTGCCTACCTTCAAGGAGAAGGCCTGGGAAGAGAGGAAGGAGACACTGACTTTTCATTTAGAACTTTCTGTGTTATTTGAATTTTCCAGCCATGCTCACATATCACTTTTTAAAATTCTGTTTACTTTTATTCAAGTGTTCCTTCTTAGAAAATATCAATAGGGGTTCTATGGGTAGTAGGCTGTGGGTCATTTGGAGTTTTGTCATATTTTTATATATTTAAAAAAGCGAATAAATATTAATTTTAAAAGGGAAATAATGTAACCCATGACTGTTCCTGGTCACTGTGGCTCCCTGTGCCCTGGCCATCCCTCAGTCCCCATCTGTGCCTGGGGAGTCTCATGCTTGCGACAAAGTCGTTGCCTTGCCTGGAACCCTGAGTGTGAAATATGGCTTCCAGGCTGAACATGATGGCTGAGGAGTCCAAGCAGAGACAATGAGGGGAGGGGGTTCCAGGCCTAAGGGTCCAAAAGTGGTCTCCTTGCTCCAACCTCACCCCACCCCACCCCCACCGAAAGTATGTTGGTGAGCTCATTTATCCATCTGACAAGTTTTTGTTGAGCACTTGGCCTGGCCCAAGCACTCACACGCCTCCCATGCCAGCCCTCTCTCTGCAACCCCGTGAGGCAGGCATGGACGGCCTCTCCACACTGTGAGGTGGGTGTCTTTGGCCTGGAGCCTTCCCCACTGGACAGCAACGTGCATGAGAGCAGGGCTGTTATAGCTCACCTTATACTCCCAGTGCCGTCACAGTGTCTGGTACATACCAAGCACTAAAGAGAGGCTAGGGGAGAGAGGGAGGCAGGGCTAGGGGAGATGCAGTACCAAGTCAAGTTTACCCAGCCAGTGCATGGCCCAAATGGATTTCAGACCTGTTTCGTAAGTCCTTCCCTCCTTTTTGTCATTACCCCAAGGAGGCCCTGCCCACCCCTGTGATGTTCTATGAAGAAATCTTGCCTTGGATTCCCGAAAAGGCGCAGCAGCCTAAAGCCTCATGTTTCACTCAACTCCAGTCATGACCTCAGATCCTCAGGGCTGGGGTCTGTCTCGCCTGCCATGTGCCAACCTCTTCTCCAGGACTCTGTGGCTCTGAGCAGGGACCACACTCAGGGACCAGAGTGAGGCTGCCTCAGAGCAAGGCTGCAGCTCAAGGGGAGGGAAAAGGGGCCCTCTACTCACCACAGGATTTCATTTCTGGTCAGGAAGGTCAGGGCCTACAACAAATCAGAGAGAGGTGACATGCCCACTCCATCCAGCCCTGCCCTGGCCCCGTGGGGAGTGGGGACTGGGGAGGAAAAGCCTATTCTCTCTCCGGGGAAATGGAGATGCTCCAGCCCTTGGCAAGGGATGCCTGAGGTGGTGGCAGAGGAGGAAATGGTACCCTTCCCTTCTCCTCGATCTTTGATGGCCTTGGGAAAGCGTGTGTTGGCACAGACCTGGAGAGACGAGACAAGATACAAACCCTGGGCTCTGAATCAGGAGACAAATAGGGGAGGGGGCTTGGAGGATTGGTCTGGGTCACACAGATGCAGGTTTAGCAGAGGCAAGGGCCGCCACTGCCCTGCCTGGTAAACTCTCCAGCTTCAGGCAAGAGTTTTCCCACTCATCCCTCCTGCCTCGGGAAGCCCCACCTCTGCCCAGAGTCTCCCGCCTGATCTACCCACCTGGTATTCTTCCAGGTCCTCCCAGTGCATCTGGTACCTCAAACACTGCCCCATGCCAACCCCACCCTTCTCTCTGTTGGCAGCAGAACCTTGGCCCCGACGGCTCACGGGCTGTGAGACCAGGTCATCCCGTTGCCATGGTGACCTACATTCCATCTTCTGCCCATTCTACCTGAGCGCCTGAGTGGGCACAGAAACAGGTTCTTTTGGTTCCCAAGGCTAATAGACATCACCCCCAAACAGCCAACAGAAAGGCAGCCTGACAACAGGGTTGAGAGTCATGCTGTTCGCTCAGGAGTCACACTGCCTGGGTTCAAGTCCCAAGATCTGCCACATGCTGACAAGACGTGATGTGACCTTGGGCAAGTCACTCAACCTCTCTGTGTCTTGATTTCCTCATTTGTAAAATGGGGATGATAATCATAGGATTGCTGTGAGGATTGTTTGACTTAATACAGGTAACAATGCTGGCACATAATAAGTGCTTGATAAATATTAGCGATTAGGACCACGTCCCAAGCACTGTGCCAGGGGGTAGGGAAACAAAGATGAGTAAGCAGAGAGCTTGACCTCAAGAAGGGCGCAAAGAGCACAGAAGGAGGCATTCCACCTCCTCGTCAGGGCCCCTGCAGGAACAGAGGCCACTCTGTTATCAAATTATCTAATTAGGATGTCTAATTATCAAATTAGGATAATTTAAAGAGGATCTAATAAAGGGACTCTCCACAAAGATGAGGTCAGGGTGGAGAGAAACCACCCACGATAGTGAGGGATCCTGGGTCAGTAACCACAGAGTTGCCGCCAGTCCTGGCCCGACGCTCCTGGAATAAATACCCCAGGGCCACTCTCTCTGAAGCCATCAGTGTTACAAACCAGAAGGGTCCTCCCGAAGCCTCGCCTGCCTCCAGCAGGATCTGCGCGTCCGCCCTCACTGGGCTGGTGGTGCTTTCCTGCTTCCACCACGTCTTTCCGCACGCTCTCCTAGGTAAACATCCCTGGGGCTTTCCAACGGAGCTAATTTCTATCTCAAAATGCAGCGGCTCACTTTCCTCCACCTATCTTCCATGGCGATGGGGCCTGGCAGAAGACCCCAGGAGCCCTCAGTCCTTGATTTACTTGACAGACACAAGTGGAGTGTCTACAGTGTGCCAGGTACTTGGCCTGACCCTGGGGAGAGATGAGGGAATGTGGTCCCAGCCCTCAAGAGACAGCTACTTGCCACACAAACAGACACACACACCCCCCCAAGGAGATTGAGCAGATGTTACCAGAGAGGTAATAGTACTGAGTTATGAGTATTTAGAAGAAGAGAGACTGCAGGGCAAGAAGTCTCTGTGTAAGTGGTGGCGTTTAAGTGGTTGTTACAATGTCATGGTTAAGAATACGGGCTGGGGCCGGCCCCGGGGCTGAGCAGTTAAGCTGCTCGCTTGGCTTGGGCAGCCCAGGGTTTTGTTGGTTCGGATCCTGGGCGCAGACCTAGCATGGCTCATCAAACCACACTGAGGTGGGTCCCACAGAGCAGAACTAAAAGGACCTACAACTAGAATATACAACTATATACTGGGGGGCTTTGGGGAGAAGGAAAAAAAAAAGAGGATTGGCAATAATGTTAGCTCAGGGCTAATCTTAAAAAAAAAAGGACTATGGACTGGCTGCGTCACCTTAGGCAAGTCATAAACCTGCTCTAAGCCTCAGTTCCCCATCTGTAAAATGGGAATCATAAAAACCTACTTTATAGGATTATTGCAAGGATAAAATTAAATTGTATATATAAAGCTCTTATTTAGCAAGGCATATAATGAGTTCTCAGTAAAGGATGAACAATATTATTACTTTTTAAAGTTGGGCCTGGAAGAAAGTGTAGGATTTTAGACGGCACTTGCAGGCCTGGGGATTCCCACAGCGTGGGGTAGGGGGTGGGGGCCGAGAGAGCTGAGGATCACACCCCAGAGGGCTGCTTCCCACCCATGTCCCCCTCAGTCCTCCTGTTACATTGAGGTGCAAGTGGCGCTGGTGTGTGCCTTTAACACCTGGTTGACACCCGCTAAAAGGAGAACAAAACAAACTAGGGAACATTCCTGCAGCTTAGAGCTCCTAGCTGCTTATTCGTCAACTATTTATTGAGCTGGGAGGTGGGGACAGGGTGAATCAGACAGGGCCCTGCCCCGGCGGTGCCAGACACGCATAGGAAAAACAACATCCCTCAAATAGCCGACAAGTGCCCTGGAAGAAACGCAGCAAGGATGGGGGTGGGGGCTGCAGAGGCTCCCCGAGGAGGTGCCATTTGGGCAGAACACTGAGGGGCAAGGACAGGTGAGCCAGGCTGCGAAGTCGGGAGAGGTTTCCAGGCCCAGAAAGCAACAGCCTCCAGCTAGAACTTAATAACATGGTTTGGTTTTTGTTATATTTGTTTATATGGTTCCTTCCATTTTGAAAATGATGCAGGTTTGCCATTAATAACCTTGATAGAGAGTTTCCTTTATAAATATATCTGTTTAGTGAAAAGAAATAGGAGTCCATTTAAAGAAAAATATGAAGTAAATTATTCTACAGGTGGTAAGGGAATCTGCCAGAAATCACAGAGATCTCTCTCTCTTTCTCTCTTGCTCGCTCTTTCTCCCTCATATCCACCCTCAGTCCGTGCCTCCTCCACCTCCCCCACAGGCTCTGTGATTTCATCTTAGAGGGGGTTTTCATTGCCTACAAATAACAATAGTACGGTAAGAATATGACCTCACATTAGCATAGCCCTTTGTAATTCTAACACGCTTTACTATGTACCGTCTCGTTTGCTCATGAAATAAAAGCCTATGCTCCTTAAAAAAAAAAAAAACGAGGGAACGGCCTGTGGCCTAGTGGTTATGTTCTGTGTGTTCTACTTCTGTGACCTGGGTTCAGTTCCCAGGTGTGGACCTACACCACTTGGCAGCGGCCATGCTGTGGCACAGACGTTAGCTCAGGGCAAATCTTCCTCAGCAAAAAAGAAGAAGAAGAAGAAAGAAAGAAAAATCTCCCATATGATTCTGCCTTCAATACACTAACCAACCAGCATCCCTACCCTTCTCCAACCTGTTAAATCTCTCAAACTCCAGCGGGGGTTTTGAAAGGGGTGTGGGTGAACAGAGCAGGCCCAGGCCTGTCCCAACAATTCTGCATCCTTCCCCTCCAGGGTCTGCCCCTGCATGAACCCTCTGTGTGGGATGGAATGCGTTCTTTGCAAGGTTTCTGTCACCTTGCAATGAACTCTACCAACTGTTAAAAGTGCAAACCCTACTCTGACGTTGATTTAAGTGTCTCTTAAAATTCAAAAAGGGCTGAAAAGGAACTTGTACCCAGAATATATAAAGAACTCTTACCACACAACAATAAAAAGATAAATAGTCCAACTAAAAAATGAGCAAAGCATTTGAATAGACATTTCTCCAGAGAAGATATACAAATGAGCAATGAGCATGAAAAGATGCAAAATATCGTTAGCCATTAGTGGATGCAAATGAAAACCACAGTGAGTTATGACTGCACACCCACCAGGATGGCCCAAGGTAAAAAGACAGTAAGTGTTGGCGAGGATGGAGAGAAACTGGAACCCTCATACACTGCTAGTGGGCGTGTTAAATGGTGCAGCCACTTTAGAAAAGAGTTTGGCAGTTCCTCAAAATGTGAAGCAGAGTTACCATGTGTTAAAAACAAGACGATAGGCCCCAAATGGAGTCACCTATGCTAAGCCCCATGCCACCAAAATGAGATTAATTACAGTTTCAGCGTTCCCAGAGATGGAATCCTAAAGCAGTCCATCAAAGATCACCTAAGGAGCTCCAGTAAGGTCATCTGCCTGATAGACCCCTGCCGTCCCCTAAAGGGAAGTGACCTTGCCACAACCAACCCGCTTTGGGCATGGGGTAACTTCCTTGTTTCCACTCCCTTCTGCCTATAAAAGTCTCTCATTTTGTACAGCTTCTTGGAGCTCCTTTCTGTCTGCTAGATTGGATGCTGCCTCATTCATAAATTATTGAATACAGCCAATAAGATCTTGAAAATTTACTCAGATGAATTTTGTTTTTTAATACAGATGACCCGGCAGTTCCCCTCCTGGGTATATACCAAGAGAAATGAAAATATTTGTCCACAGAAAAACTTGTACGTGAATGTTCACAGCAGCATTATTCATACTAGCCAAAAAGTGGAGACAGCCCGAATGTTCGTTAACTGATGAATGTATAAATAAAACATGGCATATCCATACAGCGGAGTGTTATTTGAAAATAAAAATAAATGAAGTATTGGGGCCAGTCCAGCGGCATAGTGGTTAAGTTGATACACTCCACTTCAGCAGCCTGGGGTTTGTGGGTTCGGATCCCAGGTGCAGACCTACACATCGCTCATCAAGACATGCTGTGGCAGCATCCCACAAACAAAATAGAGGAAGATTGGCACAGATGTTAGCTCAGGGACAATCTCCCTCAAGCAAAAAGAGGAAGATTGACAACAGATGTTAGCTCAGGGCCAATCTTCCTCACCAAAAAAGAAAAATAAAAATAAATGAAGCATTGGTACATGGTACAACATGGATGAACTTTGAAAACATACTAAATGAAGGAAGCCAGTCACAAAAGGCCACATATTCTGTGATTCCATTTATTTAAAATGTCCAGAATAGACAAATCAATAGAGACAGAAAGTAGATTGGTGGTTGCCAAGAGCCAGGGGGAAGGGAGACTGGGGGTTACTGCTAATGAATATGGGGTTTCTTTTTGGGGTGATGAAAATATTCTAAAATTAGGTGATGGTAATGGTTGTACAACTCTGTGAATATACTAAAAAATACTGAATGGTACACTTTAAGGGTGAATGGTATGGTATGTCAGTCATATCTTAATGAAGCAATTATTAAAACAATTTCAAGGAGTGTTTATATTCTAACAGTGCCTGGTACATGCTAGGCCCACCATAAATATTATTAAAGGGACGTGTAAATGAGATATTACATTCTGAAATAGTTTCAGCTCTATTTCCTCAGCCTGTGTGTCTCGTATCCCAGGGGCTCCACCAGTGGCAGTTATTCAGTATTGGGGACGAGGGTAGATTCTGCTGGAGCAAGTCATTGCCCAGCTCCAAATATCAACTAGATTTTTGTCTGAGTTTCCAGCAACCAGGCAGGGAGGAAAGAAACCCTTTGTCTGGAGAAAGGATTTTCTAAATTCCTTTGGTGTGGCAAGAGGCAGGCCTGGAGATGCAGAGACTGGTCTCTGTAGGGGCATCCCGGGCAGGCAGGAAGAAAAAGGATGGAAGGCCTTCTGGTCCTGGGAACAGAAGGGATGAAGAAGGCAGCGAGGAAGCCA